CTGTTCCATTCAGTTGCCCTTTTCTTTATTGTGTCATTGATACTTTGGGAATTTAGTTTTTGAGCTCCCAGTATATTCTGTTTATCAGTCCCTTGTCTGATGTATAGCTAGCAAAGATTTTTCTCCCATTCTGTGGGTGGCTTCTTTAATTTAGAGACCATTTCTTTTTTTGTGCAGAAGCTTTTTATTAACATTGACATACTGGCCTGTATGCAGTTGATGTTGCCCCTCCAATTGGGCAGCTTTGGATGGGATTGGCTCAGGCTGTTTTAGTCCAGGCTTTTCTTGGTGGGATGGGCTATCTGGTATAAGCATTTTCTCCAAAGTGGTCCCTTGAAAAGTTCATTTGTGAGCAGTTACCAGACTGTACTGCCCACAGGGTAGGCCTAGCAGCTAGAATTGAGCTTTTTAGACCACTGCTTGTCTCTTGGAAGTTTGTCAGTGTCAGCCTACTACCAGTCTCTCCAAAATGGTGGAATTTTTTTCTTTTAACCAGACAGTGGCTGTGTCAGGTTGGTGTTCCACTCCACTGCTATCAGGCAGGGGTAAAATATTCTCTCTGCTTATTTGGCATCCTGTTTTGTCCATTGGGGGATGAAATCTGCCCATCAGCTGTGCTGGACTCTGTGGTTCCCTCTAGTGTAGTTGATGTGTTGTGCTCACCTGATGAGGTTGCAGTTCAACTCAGCTTTGGGACAACAGAGGCAGGCAGCATAAGCAAGTTTCATGTCCACAAATTATGGTGGATCCAGGAAGTACCAGATATTTGCAGGACTTGTTCTGCAGTTCTTTGTGTTGTGATTTTGCTTTCCACATTCTAAGACAGGAGAAAAGAAGGCAAAAAGGAAAAAAAGGGAAGGAAAAAAAAGGGAGAAATAACTTTCCATTGGGTGGACCATCAGCCATTGCTTGTCCCAGTGCTGGGGTTTTCTTGGATATTATGTGCATAAAAAAGCTAATTTAAGGGTTCGTTGTTGAACATTATCTGCATCCTGTGTATTGGAGGTTTCTTAGTTGGGAACAAAAGCAGGGGTTCCTGATCTTTTCTACCACAAATTTGAAGTATTTTTCTCAAATCATAGCGCTCAGAGTCTCAGGTCCTTAACATATCCATCATCTTCCAGACCATGTTTAATCCTTAGCTTCTGTTTGTCATGATAGGTTTTTAGTTATCTTTCAATTATCAGTGATAGCTTTGTTGGGTAGAATTTTCCAGGTCTGAAGTATTTTCTTTCAGTGCATGAAATACCTTACTCTATGCCCTGTGGTTTTTAAGGTTTCTAATGAGAAACCTGCTATAATTTTAATGGGTTTACCTTTATATATTACTTTATTTTTCCTCTTTTACAGTTTCAATATTCTTTACTTGTTCAGTGTGCTAATTGTTTTAAGTATAATTATAATTTGCTATGGATAGGTTCTATTTTGGTCATGTCTGTTTGGTGTCCTGGAGATTTCCTGTACTGGGATGGGCATCTATTTCTCAACATTTGGGAAGTTTTCTGGTATTATTTTGTTGGTGATGTTTCCTATAACATTGACTTGCACTTCTTCTTTAATGTCTAGGATTCATACGTTTGGTCTTTTGCTGGCATTGCAGAATTCTTGCACATTCATAACTTTTCAATCTTTTCTCTGTGTATTCATCTATTTTTTCCTTTATATGTATTTTGTCTTCAAGTCCTGAAATTCTGTCTTCCTCTTGTTCCAGTCTTCTGTAGTGGCTTTCAAGTATATTTGCATTTATTTTAAGGAGTCTTTTATTTCCAGGATTTCCAATTTTTTGTGAGACTTTACATATATTGTTATGTTCCCTTTTCATACCTTGTGCTGCCTTCTTCATTTATCTCTTTTATTATATTTTCCTTGATTTCATTCTGATGTGTTTTTGTATCCTCCTTTGAGTTCATTTAGTTGTTTCTGTGTCTTTTTAAGTATTTTTCTTCATATTCTCTGGGAATGCATTCAGTTTATTTTTGTATGTCCTCTTTAAGTTCCTTAAACATTCTTATCATCATACTTTTGAACTCAGAAACTGAGTTTTCATCCCATTCATGCTCCACCAAGTCCTCTATTGTGTGATTGTTGAACTTTTGAGGAGTCATATTCCTCCGCCTTCTTCTATTCCACATACCTCAATATTGAGATTTGTTCATGTGCTGTTAATTAGTTCATTGAGGGGTTTTAGTCATCTGTTATTTTTACCTTGACTGAATTTCTATGTTCTGGCTAGGTTGGTGCATCATTTCTATTCACTGACCAGGGAGAATAACTTAGCATATTCACAGATTCAATGCCAAAGCAGTTATTTCCATGATATATAAAACCTTTGGCCATATTTTCTATAAATGGAAGGGTGTTTGGAAAATCAAAATTGTTTGCATCAGTGTTAAAATAATGGAAGTTGAAGAGGGAATGAAGAAAAATGAAAATGGGGAATGGAGGGAGAGAAGTGAGATGTGGGGAATCTAAGGCAATAAGACCCTAATGTGTATAGAGATGTAGGTTAATCATTGTGGAAGAGGGTGCTTATTATCAGGAATTGCAGAAGGATAGAAAGGATGGGAGTAATGTATAAAGGTGGTAAGTATAAAGTTGTTGAGTGATCTGTGAGGAAGAGTTAGGGAAAGTGGGAGAAAAGGTAGAAGGGGAAGGAGAAGAAGATAAGGAAAAAGAAGAAAGAAAAAAGAAAACAAGGAGAAAGAAAATATAGTGGAACAAAACAGGAATAAGCAAATCAAATTTTCAACAAAATAGGACAAAAGGACAAGTAAAAATAAATTTTTTAGAAGTTCAAATTTCTTCCCTGTTGTGGAGAGGAGTGGATTTCCTTGGTGTTCAATGAATACACTGCATGTTCCCCTCAAGTTTCAGATCCCCAGGTTTTAGACTGCAGCGTTCTTTCCAGGTGCTGTCCCTTTAAACGGGCTTTTTATGAGTCCCTGGCCCTCCTTAGGATAGATATGTTGGGCTGGGTGGCAACCAGTGGTGCTCCTCTGTACTGGATTTATTTGGGGGTGCTCCAATCAGATTATTTAGCCACAGTCTCCTCTTAAGGGGGACAGTCATGTTCAGCTTACTTAAGTAGGCAGCTTCTTGGAGATGATTGCCTGCTAGAGCTGTTCTGAGAGAAGTGGCTAACCCCTCCTGCCCACCAGGCAGGCCTGGAAGCTCTAGCTCAGGCTGTCTGGTGGGCATTTTCAGCTCACTATTAGCTTATTGGAGGTGGTCGAATGAGTTATTTCCCACAGGCTATGCTCAGACTGGCTAGTTGGTACCCATGCTATCTTTCTCTGAATAGGGAAGTGTGAGCTGAGCCACCCCTTCCCCACCAGGCAGGGCAGAAGATTTCACTATGTTTATTAGACCAAAAGCTTTTTCCTGGAGGGGTGTAATTAATGCCTGCAAGCTAAGGTGAACTATGTAGTATACAGGACTGAAAGCAGCAAGCTCATCTAAGTAGATTGTAGGTGCCTCTTGGGTGGCAGTGAGCAGTTCTGCATTGGTGATTCTTGTTCCTTATCTCTGTAGTCTGAGACTTTCTGGGCACTTTCAGGGACTCAAATCACAGTCCTTTGAGTTGAATTTTAGCACTTTGGATGGCCTTTCATGGACTGAAGGCTACTCCAGTCCAAAAAATAAAAAATGGAACAAAAAGAGAAAGGAAAAAAACCCCAAACTGCTCCCCAGTAATGCAGTGACACAGTCGTGCCCACATGTCTGGGGCTGTTTTAAACTTTAAAAGGCTTATTTAAGGCCTAGTTATTGTAGATATGGTCTGCCTATATATTGATAATCTTTTATTTGCAGACTAGCCAGACCACTTATATTTGCTACCACAAACCTAAGGTTTTCCTTCAGGTTTGTGGGGCCTATCAGCAATCTGCATCTTGGGTCCTCTTCTCCAAAAAAGCTTTTTATAGTAAGTCCTTTGATAACTGCCCAAAGGATGACCATGTCACTGGATGGATATCCAGATGGATTTTCAAACTTCCGTTACCTATGAGTCTTTTCTTCCATTTACCCTTATGGACCCTTGTTGTATTACTTGGCAGGAATATTCTAAGATATTTTCAGGAAGGCAATATTTTCATCAAGGAGGGATAATATTTGGATACAGAGGCTTCCAGGAATCACTGAGTAGGATAGGGGTGAATGATATTTAGTTGGTTTCCTGGTGACAAGGTCACTGGGATATGAATGACAAATGATTGGTTATAGTGTGTATCCACTTTAAATTAAAATGAAACAAAACAAAACAAAAATAAATCTTGGTACTGGTGACTTATGCCTGTGATACTTGCTATTTGGGTAGCATAGATCAGGAAGATTGTGGTTGCAGGTCAGCCTGGGCAAAAATGTTTGTGAGATGCATCTAACAAAAACAAAAAGTGGGGCATGATGGTGCACATCTGTTCTCTCAAGCTATGGGGAAGCTAAGATAAGTTGGATTCCAGTCCTGAGCAAAAGTGTGACCATATCTCCAAAATAAGGAGAGCAAAAAGAGCTATAAGCATGGTTCAAGTGATAGAGTGCCTGCTTTGCAAATGAGAAGCCCTGACTTCAAATCTTGGTATCACCAAATGATGAGGACAATAATAAGAACAAGACTCACAATTTTACCCTGTGCTGAACTGGCATGCCCTGCATTCTGTTGTCGTTTACACAAGGTGTGTTACATTAATTTTGTCATCTTGCATTTCAACATCGCAGGGAGGAATTGCTATAGAAAAAGAATGAATGAATATAAAAAAGCTTTTATGTCATATAGATGGTATATGAGTTAGGAAATTGTTATCCTCTTTGACACTTGTTCAGAATTTTCTCCCACAAATATTTCTACAAGCATAGATAATTGATATATATTTACAATAAGAATTGTCCCTCCAGAAAAAGGAATTTTTTTGTTTGCATTTATTATTATAACTTCTTATCAGAATTTGCTATATAGTGAACATGTTCATTAATTTTCTTTAAAATATAATTGTGTTCTCTTGTAGATCTGCAATAATTTTCCAGCTCTCCTTGATTATCTTCCAGGGAGTCATAACACTGTTGTCAAAAATGCCATTTATATAAAAAGTTACATTTTTGAGAAAGTCAAAGAACATCAAGAGTCACTGGATGTTGATAATCCTCGGGACTTCATTGACTATTTCCTGATCAAAATAGACGAGGTAAAATGTCAATATGAGGGCAAAGTATGGTGGCTAAAGCTTATGTTTTCAGCACTTCAGAAGCTGAGGCAGGAGAACCACAAACTTGGGGCCAGTCTAGGGTACATAGGGAAACCCCATATCAAAATTAAAAAAATATATTAACAGCAGCTTAGCTATTTAACTGCATAGGCATTTTGTTGTTCATTGAAATTGTCTTATATTTTCTAATGATGTTTAATTCTCTAGGCTAATAGTTCTTGACAGATATTTTGAGGACCTATGATGTTACATGAATCTACACCAAGCATCATAGGAAAAATAAATCAAATGTTAAATAATTAGAATATACTTTTCTTTAAATAAAAATGATCCAACTCCAAATAAATAGCTCTAATTCTTTGAAACAGTTGATAAATTAACAAATTTTATCAATATGGACTAAATAAAGAGAATACATTAATGATTAATATCAGGAATGAAAGAAAGGATGTAAGTTCTGAAATAAAATTTCCAACCAAGTTAGAAAATACAAAATATCATGTCATGGGAGGAGGGTGGTATTCATTATTGGACATACAGTATGGGAGAACTGAAAAGAATGGATTAATTTAGGCAGACTCACTGCATGTATGGTGGATTGATATCTTAAAACATTTGCATTGGAGGATAGGAGAGAGAATTTCAGGAGGTTTAAATGATGTAGATAGTGGTCTGTGGGGGGAAAAGTAAAAGGATAGATGAGAGAAACCTTAATTAAGTACAACTTCAAGTGAATTTGCACAGACACACAGAGATTGGTGTATATGAGGTAGCTGGTAAACATGATTTGCCTTGTCACTCTCCCATTTGTTGGAAAGGCTCTTTATTGCCATTGACTTTTCTTGGCACTCTTGTTTTGTGAACTCTGAATTCTGGTCCATTGATTTATTGTTCTGCCCTATGTCAGTATTATGCTGTAGTGAAGTCTCCACTACTGTAAGTTTGTATTGGATTTTCAAATTGAGAAAATTTTGTTATTGCTTTTCAAGATTTTTGGTGATTGTAGGTCCCTTGATTTTCCATATGAATTTTAGGAGGAGCTTGTCAGTTCAGTTTATGCAAAGAAGCTATTACAGATTTTGATAGGGATTACATTAAATATGCAGGTCAGTTCAGCAAGTATTGTCATTCAGATAATTGAGGTAAAATTCACATACTATAAAATTAGCTCTGTGAAGGAGTGCACTTTAATGATATTTACTGCCTCCATAGTACTCTGGAGCCAACAATGCTCATTCATTTTGATTTTTTCTTCATCTTTCTAAAAACACCTACCATATCAATTAAATGATCAGACCCCACTTCACAGGCCCATCATGTAGTAACCTTTATTCTTCTGTCTCTAGTCATGGATCTATCATATGGAAGGATTTATAGTGTATGTGGTCTTTTTTCCTGGTTTCTGCTAAGAAACCAGGAAAAAAGGCACATACAAGTTGCAGCATGCATTAGTACTTTGTTCTTTATGTGGCCTAATAAATTTCCATTTTACATGGACAACAGTTTATAATTCTGATATAATTCAGCTATGTTGTTATGTATCTTTCTTTCTTGAGAGCCTATGATTGCAAATTCAATGGCTTTACTGGTTGCAAGTGTTCACAGTTTTTATTTGACCTTGAGTTAGCTTTGGTAACTTGTGTGTTTCTAGGAAGTTTTCATATATTTTGTTATCTAATTTGTTGGTGGACTATTGCTTATATTATGTAATCACCCTGCATTAGTCCATAAAATAAGTAAGTATCTCATTTCTTTCAGTCTGAATTTAATCATTGGGTTTTTTCTTTCTTTTCATTTAGTTAGCCCAGACAATGATTTGTTGTTTTATTAACTGATTCCAGGAAGTAACATTTGGTTTCAGTGATTAATGTGTTATTTTCCATTTTTTAAGTTTACATGTTTTTTTCTTCTGTCCTTGAGATTAGGCTGTTATTTTGAGTATTTTCACTGTTTGTATGTGGATGTTTATAGTTCTTTTTCCATCCAAGATCTGCTTTTTGCTTCATTTCACCTTTTCTATATATAAGTTTTTGATTTTTACTGTATCTTAATGTGTTCAGGTTTTCATAATAACATTCTTTACCCATTTATTCAAGAACATGTTGTATAACAGCCATTTTCCCTTATGTTATTGATTTTTAAGTTTCATTATATTGTGATGAAGATATGCTGTGTGATTTGGATGTACTAACATTTATTGGGAAATGTGTGTTAACATATTATCTATCCTGGAGAAAGTTGTGTGAAAAATACACTTACCTGTTCAAACTCAAAGAATGTTCTCAGACACATAGAATACAATGGAAGTGAGACTTTAATGATGACCTTGCAAGGTTGGGTGCCTGATGAGCAGAGACCCCAGAAACTGTTACAATAAACATTGTATTGCTTAGTGTGCAAGTCTGTCCCCTGGTTCCTCATTGATGAGTACTGTGGGGTGTACATTTTTTTGGATGTTGCCTAAATCCTATTGGGTTATGTCTCTTGGGATTGGTCAAATTTTAGAAGTAGGCTTAAGTTTTTACCTCCCTTTGTCTATCCATGGCAGGAAGTCTTCCCTGTGATACATGTTTTCTGGCATGTAACCTATTTCCTCACTCTATCGTGATTTGCCCCACCCAGTTGAAGTTTTTGAATTAGTTGACCCTCCCCACACACCCACAAGCTGATAGCACCTAGGATTAAATGCCTTGAAAATGGACAGCCACCGACTTTATTTTTAGCAAATTCCCTCTTTTTTTTTTAAACTGGTTTATTTTCACTTTTGCTTGTTGTTTTTTGAATTGCTCTAGAATTTTTGACTTCTTTTCATCTTAGGCAGGTGTATATTTGTTCTGGCACCAAATGGATGTGAGGTTATATTTATGATCAAATAGAATGTTAGTCACCATAGAGGGTCCCCTTCTGAAACATTTGCTACTAATCCAGGTACCTGTGGTGCTACTTTAGGTTTTTGGTCTAGGGTTGCTGTGTTGTCTGTGGTCAAAATATGGGCAGAACTTACAATTTGTATAATAACACATCCAAGTCAGAGCAATATGAGAGAGAGAGAGAGAGAGAGAGAGAGAGAGAGAGAGAGAGAGAACTTGCTCCCCATGCAGGAAATGGGAGTAAAGACTCAAAATGGTGGCCCCCATTTTCTAATATTGTACTGGAGAGTTGGGGGAATACACCTGGTCAAAGATAATGGATCTGGGTGCCAGAGATTGTTGTTAAAACAGGGAGGGATCATCCTGGCCTACCCAAATCATAGAGATAATAGATGTGTTTAAGAACTTTCCTTTGTTAGACATGATTATTTTTTACCCATCCAAAGATTCTTGCAGCTTGTTAACATCTCAAAGAGGAAAGCAGGTAGCTCCTCTTTCTCTCCCTGTCTAAAAGGAGATGGGAGGGGGCTAGCTGCTCTAGCTTTTCCACCTTTTACTTCCTTGTTCCAATGTCAGAGTCTGGCCCTTTAAATATTGACTAAAGTAACATAATTTCCCTGTCTCCTGTCTCATTTCTCCCATAAATGACTTTGGTTCCTTTTAATCTTAAAAAGGGTACAGAGGAGAGACAGTCCAAATCTTCAATAGCTTCTTCAGGCTGAATTTGTGCACTGGCCTTACCTAGAAAGGGAAAAAAATGTCATTTTCCTATCTTATAATTTAGGAGGTGACAAGGGAAATTCAGATGGCAGAAAACTTACTTAAAGGTCTGTCAGGAGAAGGGCCAGGAGACAGTAAGTTATTCTTTTACTAAAAGAGAAATCAAAGATGGTTTTTTAGTGAAAACCATCCTTTAAAAATGATTTTTATGTGGATAAAGCTAATAAGATTTTAAAGAATCATAATATCATTAAGGAAGTATATAAAGTCTATAGATATAACATAATGAAAACACCTGTCATCCATAGAAACTGTATCAATGTTCTTTATAAAGATGGCAAACAGTATCCACCTGTTGTCCATTTTTGGTTAAGTGAAGAGGTAGGTTGTTATGAGAAATCTTAACATGATTTTTGTTAGGGGAGTCCTGGGTTGAGTTATTTACATTTGACTGTAGGGCATACTTAATTACCTGTGGGGACATTCACTGTTCCCTGTAAGGGTAAAGTTGTTCATGGTGCTCACCAACAGTTATAATCTGTCCAGAAGCAAAAGTTATATTATAAGTTACAGTACTAGCCTCACCATCAAATATAAAGAAACTTTCATCATTTCTGAACACTAATGATGCTCCTTGAATTATGACTCTTCTAAATACTTTTTCTCTTTTACAGCTGGGATACACTTGTAGGCCTTCAGAGAGAGCTAAGAGGAATGCCTCCACAGCCTCAAGTGTCTTTTATCTTATATCAAGTTACATTTGATTTCCCATGGTCACAGGAAAATAATTTTGGTGTGTGTGGGGCCATGATAGTCGTGGCTCCAATATTTAATAGGATCTCCAGTTAGCTTCTTCTCTAAGGTAATTAGTTTAAATATCTGATACACTGTAGGATATAGGAGAGCAAAATGTTTACAATGTGCTAGATAATTTACCTTTACTTAGGAGATCTTGTGGAGAGGCCTGGTATTTTGCAGACCCCCAAAATTTATGATTATCTGCACACTGATTGAGGTAAGGCTCCATAGTTTGAAAAGGATCTTTTAAAAAAATTGTTTATTCATTTATTCATATGTGCATACATTGTTTGGGCCATCTCTCCCTCTTACCCCCCTGCCCCCCACCTCCTCCCTCTCCCCTCACCCTCTTTGCTTCCAGGCAGAACCTGTTCTGCCCTCTTCTCCAATTTTGTTGAAGAGAAGACATAAGAGATAATGAGAAAGACACAGCACTTTTGCTAGTTTGAGATAAAGATAGCTATACAGAGAGATTCCTAGCATTGCTTCCATGCACGTGTGTATTGCAACCCAAATTGATTTATCTTTACCAAATGTCTTCACTACTTCCTGATCACCTTCCCATAGTGGCCTCTTTCAGTTTTAGATTAC